ACTGGTTGTTCTGGTAGAAGACCCGGGTTTGAATCCCAGCACCCACATGGCTAACAACTGTCTGTAATTCCAGTTCTAGGGGATCCGATGGCCTCCTCTGTCCTCTGTGGGCATTGCATGACAGGAGTGCACTTACTGACATGCAGGCAATACATGTATACACATAAAATAAAAAAAAAAAAGCTGGGCATGGTGGCGCACGCCTTTAATCCCAGCACTTGGGAGGTAGAGGCAGGCGGATATTTATGAGTTCCAGGCCAGCCTGGTCTACATAGTGAGTTCCAGGACAGCGGGGGCTAAAGGGAGACCCTGTCTCAAAAAGACAAAAAAAAAAAAAAATTCTGAGTGTGGTGGTGCATGCCTTTAATCCCAGCTCTCTGGAGGCAGAGGTAGGCAAACCTCTGAGACCCAGGCCAGCCTGATCTATATAATAAGTTCTAGGCCAGCTGGGGCTACTGGAATACCATGTCTCAAAAATCCTTATTTACTCCTGAGTAATGAGATCATTGTACTATGGGAAAAAAAGAAAAATAAATACATAAATAAAAACAAATAAAGGCTCTAATAACTTCACTAGATTCCATTCTTAAATCTTTCTTTCAATTTCAAATAAAGTGCAATCCTAAGTGGAATCAAGACTATCAAGTTGGAACTGCTCTATGAGAGAAATCAAAAAAGAAATAGTACAAATTGTATCTCAGGGGGCTGGAGAGATGGCTCAGAGGTTAAGAGCACTGGCTGCTTTTGCAGAAGACTTGGGTTTGGTTCCAGCACCCACATGGCAGCCAACAAGCCTCTATAACTCCAGTTTCAGGGGATCTGAAGCCCTCTTCTGGCCTCCTCGGGCATTGGGCATTGCACAATATGGGTGTACTTATATACATGCAGGTAAAACACTCATACACTTAAAATTAAAAAACAATAGTAGGAACTGGGCATGGTGGTGCACACCTTTAATCCCAGCACTCAAGAGGCAGAGGCAGGTGGATCTCTGTGAGTTCCATGTCAACCCCTTCTACATGGTGAGTTTCAGGCCAGCTGGAGCTACAGGGAGACCTTGTCTCAAGAAGACCAAAAAAGGGGCTGGAGAGATGGCTCAACAGTTAAGAACACTAGCTGTTTTTGCAGAAGACCTGGGTTCGAATCCCAGCACCCACAGGGCAGCTAACAACTGTCCATAACTCCAATTCAAGGGTATCCGATAGCTTCTTCTGTCCTCTGGGGGCGTTGCATGATAGGACATGGGTGCACTTACCTACATGCAGGCAATACATGCATACACATAAAATAAAAATAAACAAAATATATTTTTTTTTAATTAAAAAAACGAGCGGGGTGTAGTGGCACACGCCTGTAGTCCCAGCACTTGGGAGGCAGAGACAGGCGGATCTCTGTGAGTTCAATGCCAGCCTGGCCTACATAGTGAGTTCCAGGACAGCTGGGGCTACAGGCTACCCCGTCTCAAACCCCCCCCCAAAAAAAAGAAAAAAAAATGTAGCTCGGCATGGCAGCTCACACTTCTATGCCCAATCCTCAGAAGGACTGCAGAAGGTTTGAGGCCAGGTGGCATAGTGAGACCTCATCTCAAAACAAATAATCAGGAGCTAGAGAGATGGTTCAGAGCTTAAGAACACTGACTGTTCTTCCAGAAGACCCGGTTTCGAATCCCAGCACCCACATGGCAGCTAACAACTGTCCATAATTCCAGTTCCAGGTGATCCGATGACCTCTTCTGTCCTCTGAGGGTATTGAATGACACAGGTGCACTTACCTACATGCAGGCATAACACTCATACACATAAAAAAGTAAAAATAAAAAATAAATTATTGCTGGACGTGGTGACTCACGCCTTTAATCCTAGCCCTTGGGAGGCAGAGGCAGGGGATACATAGGCCAGCCTGGTCTACATAGTGAGTTCCAGGAAAGCTGGGGCTACAAGGAGACTCTGTCTCAAAAAAGACAAAAAAAACCCAAAACAAATAAAAACCAAAAACAAACAAACAAAAAACATAGAACAGATTGTAAATCCAGACCAGCAGAACCAGCCAGGATGGGAATTTGGTAGACATGCAAATCAGACAGCACTCCATTATTCACACTGAAACTGGAGGTAGGGGAAGCAGTTTGTTTCAGCAGGCTTTCCATTCTGATGCCTGTTAGAGTTTGAGAAGCACTGGGAAGCCTTCAAACAGGCAGAATTAATTCATGCTGTCAGAAACAGAGCAGCACAGGGGTAGGGCACTAACTAGCACATTGTGCTAAAGGTCCTGGCTTTGTACCAGTAATGAGAGTTAGGGGAGAGGGAGAAAGAGAGAGGAAGAAGATGGGGGAAGGGGAGGAGGAATAGGAAGAGAAAGAAGTAGAAAGGAGAAGAGGGAATTGGAAATAGTACCAGGTATGATGGTTTACACTTAGAATCCCAGCATTTAGAAGCCAAGAAGGATCACTGTGAGTTCCAGGCCAGCCTGGGCTACACAGTGAGTTCCAAGTCAGCCTGGCCTAGAGTGAGCCCTTGAAAAATAAAAATAAAAAAAGGCAATGAAAAGGAAAAGGAAAGGAAAGGAATGAAGCAGTGTTGTCCCTGGAGGGCCATGTGACCGGAGCTTCTGGAAGTTTCCTGGTACTTGTGCATGTTATTTCCCCACTGAGGTGCTGCTTTACTGGTGTGTTCACTTTGGGAGAATTTACCAAATTTCAGATTTAGGATACGTTGTTTGTTTTGTTCATTTTTGAGTCATGGTTTCCTGTATTCCAGCCTTTAGACTCTCACTGTAGCTGGGAATGATCTCCTGACTTTACCTCTCAGGTGCTGGAATTACAGGCCTAAGTCACCAAGCCTGTTTTTTTTTTTTTTTTTTTTTTTTTTTTTTTTTTTTTTTTTTTTTTTTTTTTTTTTTTCTGCTCTGGGAGTATATTTCAATACAAAGTTAAAAGACAACTGTTGGGGCTGGAGAGACAGCTCCATGACTAAGAGCACACTGGTTGCTCTTCCAGAGGACACAGGCTCAGTTCCCACATTAGGCAGCTAACAACCATCTGCAATTCCAGTTTTAGGGGATCTGATGCCCTTTTCCAGCCTCTGAGGGCATTGCATGGCACGGGTGCACTTACATACATGCATGCAAAACACTTATACACATGAAAAAATAAAAAATAAGTAATGGCTGAAGAGATGGCTCAGTGGTTAAGAATACTGACCATTCTTTCAGGAGACCTGAGTTCGAATCCCAGCACCCACATGGCAGCTAACAACTGTCTGTAATTCCAGTTCCAGGGGATCTGACAGCCTCTTCTGTCGTCCACGGACATTGCATGACACGGGTGCATTTATCTACATACAAGCATAACACTCATACACATAAAATTAAAAAAAAAATTTAAAAAGTAAATAAATAAAAAAATTTAAAGAGAACTGCTGAGGTTGAAACTGTGAGGAGTAGGGAGAGGGAAGGCTAGGAATCCATCCCCAACCCTGTCTACCCTTCAGCTGTAAGCAGCTCTTCAGTGATTACCACCCAAGAGTCCCTAAAGCTCATCAGGAAAAGCTGGAAATCACTCACCTGTCCCAATAGAGGTTCAGAGAAGTCAATACTTGCCCAAAGTCCTATCCAACTGGCATTGTACCCTGGGTCTCCTGATCCCTAGGCCGGGCCTGCTGGAGCCTATTCCTTTGCTGAAGAGCCAGTACCATAAAGAGGGTGGGACAGTTAGTTCAGCTTCTCCCCCTCCTAATTCCCTTGATTTGGGTCTTGGGAGGAGGGCCAAGTCTGGTGTGGATGATACTTTACTTATCCTGGAGCAACTTCCTTTCTGGGAACCGGGAACCTGCTTCTGGGCAAAGACAATAAAATTCATCCCAAGGACTCCTCCTGCCCCCACCCGGATAGGCATCACGTGGCCCCCAGTTAGCAGACCAGGAAAATTCCAGTCCTTGCACATTTAGCCTCACATATCCCTCTATTCACCCTGGCACACTCACTTTCCCTCACACACCTTCAACACTCACCATCGCACACTCCTGGCACACCCTTTTCACGCTCAACTTCTGTTACCTCTCTTTGGACCACATCTTCAGCCTTTCTGTCCCTGTCCTATCACTTACCTCAGACCCACCATGTCCCTAGGGCCACTGAAATTCCAGGCAGTGGGTGAGGAGGACGAGGAGGATGAGGAGGAGAGCTTGGACTCGGTGAAGGCACTGACAGCCAAGCTTCAGCTTCAGACCCGGAGGCCCTCATATCTGGAGTGGACTGCCAGAGTCCAGAGTCAGGCCTGGTGCAGGGCCCAAGGCAAACCTGGGCCTGGAGGACCTGGGGCTATCTGTGGCTTTGACTCCATGGATTCTGCACTTGAGTGGCTCCGACGGGAGCTGGTGAGTCTGGTGGGGTGGACAGCCTTGCAGAGTCTTTGAGTCAGTCAGTCCTATTTAAGGCCCAAGTCTGTGGGGAAGGGATGAGAATGGACAGATCCCTATAGCAATTTCTCACCGCTGTGTCCAAGGGCAAAGGAGCCAGGAATGCAGTTGTTCAATGTTTTATTTGGGGAGCCTTGCTGAAGAAGGGTTTTGTCCAGTTTACAGACCTTGTGTTCAGGACAGAATTCTGGACTACCAGTTATAGGTAGGGAAAGACAAGGGCTCTGGGATTGATTCACCCTAGAGATACAGTCAAATACAAAAGAAGACCTTGGCTATACAGTCAGACAGAATCTGAAAGGGAGAGAGTTAAATTAAAAAAGTTTTTTGATGTATTTATTTTTATTTGTATAAGTGTTATGTCTGCATGTGTGTAAGTGCACCCATGTCATGCAATGCCCTCGGAGGACAGAAGAGAGTGTTGGATCCCCTGGAATTGGAGTTATGGATGGTTGTTAGTGGCCATGTGGGTACTGCAATTCAAACCCAGGTCTTCTGCAAAAACAACCAGTGCTCTTAACCACTGAGCCATCTCTCCAGCCCCTAGGAAGTTGAATATTAGGTATCAATCCAACATGCATTCAAATCCAGTGTGGAAATTCAGCTTAGTTGATGTGCGATAGCAACTCAGACATCTATATTGGCACAGTAGCGGGTCCTTGGGTTGGTTGGAGATCCACCAATGTGGAGCAAGATCTGAGAGAGAAAGGGATGAAGTTAGATGAGAAGTGATCCAGCCTGTGCAAGTCTTGGAATGTTCACAGAAAGGGAACTGGGGCTGGTGAGGCTGGATAGGTCCTGCAAACTCATCCCCCCTCTTGGTTGTAGCAGGAGATGCAGACTCAGGACCAGCAGCTGGCAGGGCAGCTGCTGAGGCTGCGGGCCCAGTTGCACCAACTTAAAGTGGACCAAGCCTGTCACCTGCACCAGGAGCTGCTGGATGAGGCTGAGCTAGAGCTGGAGCTGGAGCTGGAGCCTGGCACTGGCCTAGCCCTGGCCCCGCCACTGCGGCACCTGGGCCTCACACGCATGAATATCAGTGCCAGACGCTTCACCCTCTGCTGAGGGGCACCTAGGTGTTTTCTGGACTATCTGGGAAGAAGGAAGGGAGGGGTGCCCCAGAGGCTCCAGAACCTGTTGGGGGAGAGGTGCACTTAGGTTCTGAGAGCTGCATTCAGAAAGCACAAAGCTCCAGTTGGCAAGGGGAGCTCAGACCCCCAAATTTTTCAATAAAAACCCTTTGTATCTCCCTAAGGTCTCTGTAGTCCTTTACAGAGGCCCAACACTGTTGTCTGTCTGTGTACCCTGTGCTACTGGGGCAAAGGACTCCACCCCAGGAGATAAGACCCTGCTGGAGGTGGAGAGGGACTGATGGCACTCCATATCTCCCACAGCTCCAACGCTATTTCTTTTTTTGTTGTTGATGTTTTTTTGAGACAGGGTCTCATTGTAGCCCTAGCTATCCTGGAACTCATTCTGTAGACCAGGCTGGCCTAAAACTCACAAAGATCCGCCTGCCTCTGCCTTCCAAGTGCTGGGATTAAAGGCGTGCGCCACGTCGCTCAGCATCCAAAAGCAGAAGCAGGCAGATCTCTGGAAATTTGAGGCCAACCTTGCCTACATAGCAAGTTCCAGGCCAGCCTTGAAAAGACCAAAAAAGAAAAAAATCAGAAGTGAGGAAGAATTTAAAATGTCAAGTCATCCCCAAGGCAGGTGATTTAGTTGAATTGGATGCCTGGAGAACAGAGAATCTGGTAGTCCTGGATTCAAAACCAGCTTCCTATTTATTTCTTTTGGAAACTGGGGAGATCCCTTATGCAGCCCTGTACTCTGTCTCCTCATTTCTAAAGTGAAGCTGTTGCTTCTCACTCCGAGGTCAGCTAGATATTAGGTACTGCACAGAAAGCACCAGTAAACATGAGAATTGCTCCTCAGCACACACCTGCTGTAGTGTCGAAGCTCAGAGAAAGGCTAAAGTTTACATGTGAAGGGAATAGGGCCCTTACCAGGCCTAGAGCCACACTGGTGGGCTCTGTCACCCTGAAGGGTTTATTTCCTTTGTGTCTCTCAGCTAGCTTTTGTTACTGCATTACTCTTTGTCTGACTTTCCAACTCGGGCTTCCTCTTCTCCCCACCCATTTCCTGTTCCCCCTTCCCTTGCAGCTGAGGTGCACACAGCCTTGGCTTCCACCTCACAAACCCCAACAATGCTCTGTGGGCTCCCCTCCCCCGCCTGCTCAGTCAGTGCAGCTCAGGAAGTGACGCACTTACACTTTCCTCCCAGTGGGGTCAAAGCCCATTCTTAGGCCTGATAGGGGCCACTAGGCGTTCCTCACATCGCTGGTAGCCTATGATGGACGCCACCCTTACTTTGGGTCTGCCTGCTGTTTGTGGCAAGGCTCTTGCCTCCTATTATCAGAAAGTCTGCTACCAGGGTGCTGTGTTGTTTGTTCTGTCGTCCACCTGTGGCAGGAGATGGTGCCAGGCTGTGTACTCCTTTAGGGGTGTGGCTTTGCTTCTGCCTGAATTCGCACTCTCCAGCCATGATGAGTGGGTGTTGTCCTTCCCTCTGCCTACAGCAGTGGCAGTTACTACACTGTGTGCTGTGTGTAAAAACATAGGGTTTTCCTACCTGCCCCTGAAAAGGGCTGTCAACGTTCTATAAGTGCCTACCCTGTGACTCTAACACAGCTGTTGCCCTGTGCCCCAAGATAGCATGGACTCTGTTCTATTGGTGATTGTAGCAGCTGTTCACTTCAAAGTCTCACTGTAACACACGTCAACTTGTCACCAACTATTTAACAGAGATAGTGTCTTGGCTTCAACTCTGAACAGTGATACCAGACTGAAATAAAAACCGAATTCTCACACAGTGACTGCAGTCCCATATCCCTTCCCCTGTAAACTGAGCATGTCACTACTTACCTCTCTGCTCATGGGGACAATTGCCCTTGAGTCTCTAACCCAAGTGTGCCTTGGAGGGCTGGAGGGAAGCTTCACCAAACATCCTCTTGATTTATTTCTTATTTTTATTTTTGGGGATCTAACAGTTCAGGCTAGCCTAGAAACGCTATGTAGTCACTCCTGCCTCTACCTCCAGAGTGCTGGGTCTACAGCCTGAACCACCACACCCAGACCTCCCCTCAACTTTCTCCCCTCCAAGTGCCATCCTCAGTGTAAGTGGAGCCTGGTGTAAAGATAGCTGGGACCCTGAGAGGCTGAGGAATTGGGGGCTATGGTGGCAGGAAGCTTGGGGTGCTGGAGGCTTGTGGTTGGGCTGCTGGGGCCCTGTTGGCTGCAGAGCCCTCGGAAGGAGGCAGGAAGTCAGGGTGGAACGTGGGCGCGGGGAGACAGGTGGTGACTACGACGGCGAAGGGAGCTGAGACTGGGTCCAGGCAGCCAAACCAGGCCAGGAGCATCATGTGAATGGGCCAAAGGGCTCCCAGGCTGGGCAGGTAAGGGGTACTGGGAACAGGGGTCAGGTGCTGTCCTGAGAGCCTGATGCGTAGAGGACTGCAGCTGTGTGGAGGGCCAAGGTCCCTGGGTGTACAGCAGCCCTTCAGGCTGAGAATCAGAAATGCCTTGCAAGAGTCAGCTAGTTACCTCTTTGCTGGGAAACTGGTGGCTCTTGCCTCTGCTCTGCTCTCTGCGGTCATCTGCCACCTTACTAGGAGCATACTTGGAGATCCAGCACATGGTGTCAGGTTAAGAAGGCCTTCAGAACTCACAAAGTCTAGTCACTTGTCCACCTACTCTACCCATCCTCCCTCAGCTATGTCCTGGCAGAGCAGGACCTTAGGAGACAGTTATGGCTTAAGCTCAGCATCTCTTACTCCTGTAATGGACAGGGGGATGGGATGGATAGGCTTGAATCTGGGGACTCAGGAATTCATCCTATGGTCCCTGAGGGCAGACCCGAATGACGAAAATCTCCTGAAAGAGTTACCTACAGCATCCAGATGAGGACATGAGAATTGACTTGAGCCTGAGTGACCAGCATCGTTGAAAAGAGGGAGGAGTCTCCAGGGGAGCGGATGGAGCTGATGGATGTATGAGGGATGCTTATCATCCAGGATGGATGTGTCTACCCTGAGGAAGTTAGTAGCTTTAAATGAAAATGATAGGAGAAGGGAAGAGGAAGGACTATTTTTATCCTAGAAGGGGTATAGCTGGCCCTGGGCAAGAACTTCTGAACTTCCATCTGGAAAGTCACCATTACTGTCATGCCAAGTGTCACAACAGGATGTCCTCCCCTTTGCCCTTGTCCCCTCCCGCCTCAACCCAGTGTGTTGTGCATGATGGTCTTCATAATTATTGCTTCACACCCCAAGGGTGGAGGCCCAGAAGGGTATCACCAGCTACCTCTAATTCCTTTACATTCTAACTCTAAACTTTGAGGGGCAGTCCCCATCTTGGCCTGAATTTCCAGGTTTCTCACACCTCACTGGAGATTTTCATGTAACACATTTTCCATCTTGTCAGCATGTGCTGGCCTTCCTCCTGTCTCTAGCCCCAAGGCCTGTAGCCTCCTATGGGGGATGATGACTTTGTTTTTTGTCATTGTTGTTGTTTTGAGACAGGCCCTCCCTGTAGCCCCAGCTGGCTGGAACTTGCTATGCAGACCAGGATGGCCTCTGTCTCCCAAGTGCTAGAATTAAAGGTGTGTGCCACCACACCTGGCCTGTGGGGACTGGGAACACACTGGTTCTCCTGTGTCTCATCTGCCCTTGGATAGGCAAGAAGAACAGTCCCCTCTATCCAGAACTGTGCTAACCAACAGATAATCAGATATGGTCCCTTGCCCTTAGAGCTCAGGATAGTGGTTCTTTTCAAAAGGAGAAAGAGCCAAGGGGACAGGACAGAGAATAGTCTGAGGATTCAGAGGGAGGAGAAAGCCTCCTTCAAGGGGATCTAGAAGCTTCTTTTTCTTTTTTGGTCTTTTTGAGGTAGGGTCTCCCTGTAGTCCCAGCTGTCCTAGAACTCACTATGTAGACCAGACTGGCCTTGAACTCACAGAGATCCACCTGCCTCTGCCTCCCAAGTACTGGGATTAAAGGCGTGCACCACCATCCCGGCTGAGAAGCTTCTTTAACAGTCAATACAGTTCTGAGAATGACAGAGGCTAATTACCAAGAGAGTCTAGGATATGAAGCCAAGGTTACTATCCCTAGTGGGACCATGAAGACAGAAACCCCAGAATAAGGTCAAAGGTGTAAGAATCCAGGATCAGATAGACCCAGGAACAATTTTGGGTCTGCCATTTGCTTGAGTAAGTGGCTTATCCACTCCAAATTTCAGTTTAGTTGTCCATAAAGACATAACAAAGTGGGGCTGGAGAGATAGCTCAGTGGTTAAGAGCACTGACTGCTCTTGCAGAGGTCCCAGCTACAAACAGTCCTTAACTCCAGTTCCAGGGAATCCGACACTCTCTTCTGACCTCCCCAGCACCACACGACATGGGTGCACTCACATATATGCAAGCAGTACACTCATACATGTAAAATAAAAATAGTAAATAAAATATTTTTTAAAAAAGACATAACAAAGCACTTGCTTACAGAATGCTTTTGAGAAATCAGAGATAATAGTGACTTCAATTGTGCCCTGGGGTGCACTGACACATAGTGGGAGCTTAAGGGAAGCTAGGCACTTCCTCTCCCTACAAAGAATGTTGTTCACACCCAGAATAATACCTACTCAGCACCTTTCCCTCACACTTGTGGTATGGCTTTGCAAATGAGCTTGTTTCCTGTATATGGCTGGGTGTGAGAACTCAAGAAGGCTCAATTCAGAACTGAACCAAGAAGTCTGCCTTTGGAGAGGACCCCTCAGCCAGTTGGTATTGCATGCCTGTAATCCCAGCACTCAGGATGCTGAGGTAGAATGATGGAGAGTTCACACCAGACTTCTCTCAAGGAGGAGGAAGAAAAGTAGGTCCCTCACACAATTGTACACATGCATACAAGCTTACACACATACCTTCCCTATTCAATGCACTTCACATAGCATTTTTGGAAAATATGTGTGTGCAGGTCTGCTTAGAGGTGGGAGCGGGGACCACATAGAAGCACAGGCAGGATCCTACAGGCACATGTATGCACCCACAGACCAATAGTTTCAAAACCAAGTTCAATTCAGAGGAGGAGGTTAAGTTGGGAACAAGGTAAACCCAAGATAACATCCAAGAATGTGGAAGGTTTTCTCCTCTTCCTGCCCCACGCCTCTTCTTTTATCCAGGGCCTCATACATGCTAAGTACATGCACTACCATTAAGTGCCCCCCCACACCAGCCCAGGAATGTGGTTTGTTTGTTTATTTATTCATTAATTCATTTATTTATTTTATGTGTGTATGAGTACTAAGTGCACCTATGTCATGCAGTGTCCAAGGAGGCCAGAAGAGGGCGTCGGATCCCCTGGAACTGGAGTTATGGATGATTGTTAGTCACCATGTGGGTGCTGGGAATTGAATATATGTCCTTTGCAAAAGCAACCAGCACTCTTAACCACTAAGCCATGTCTCCAGCCCAAAATTGTGGTCCTTAATAACCCATCTGTTCCAGTGCTTGTACTGAAGAAAGTAACTCCATACAGCACCTGGAAAGAAAGGTTTAGGAGCCCAGCCAGTATGACCTCAGCTACAAACTCTGTCCACTGGAGTTTTACAGTCAGTTCTGGCTTGTTAAGCTCTCAAGTCTCCCCAGAGAAGAAGCAAAATTCATTTTGTTTGACCCAGTGTTTGCCAAACTTTCTGGACACAAAACACTTTTTTGTTTGTTTATTTGTTTGTTTTCCCGTGCCTACCCCCTCTTGAGACAAGGACAAGTGTGGAAGGGCAATGCGAGCTCTGTAGTTGATAACTTCTCAAATAATTGTCACTCCTAGACTATGGCGGCACATGCCTGTGATCCCAGCACTCAGAAGGTTGAGACAAGAGCATGTGAAGTCTGAGGCCAGCCTAGGCTATGTAACCAGATGTTTGAACGGGGAAAAAAAAATGGTTTCTGTCTCTTAATAGAGTTTTTGCGTTGGTGGTAGTTTTGTTGTTTTTGTTTTGCAATTACAAAATTAGCACATGGCCCCCTTTTTTTTTTTTAATTCAAGCAGTGCAGAGGAGTCTAAAGATACAAGAAAATCAGTCCCCTCCAATCCCCCGTCTGGGATGTGTTCACTGGGAGCCATTTGGTATATGTCCTTACAGATCGTCCAGTGTGTGGCTGCTGATTTGGCCGATTCTGGAGCAGGTAGACCAAGGTTCAACTTGCAGGTTCCCCTCTCACTTGTTTGCTCTGAGCCTTTAGGCAAATTGCTTAACCCAGTTTAGGCTTCAGTTTTTGCATCTGTAAAATGGGACTGATAATACCATTTACTTCATAGGATTGCCATCAGAATTACATGAAATAATTCAAATCATGCAAATGACTTCAAATAATGGATGTCGTAGAATCTGGGCCTATAGACACATTTAAATGCAGGTTAGCTTACAGTCCACAGTCTGTTCTGTGACTTGTTTACATGTTGTATCTAGGAGTCTTTCTATGTCCATATGTGGAACTCTAAGCTTATCAGTGTTAGCTGCGTGTTAACTTGGTAGATGAGTAATGGTGATGATTTTCACATTTTACTTCCTGGCAAGTATTGCTGTGTAGCTGTGTTGGGAGTCCCAGATATTACCTATCAGCTAGCAGAAGCAGCCTTACATACAACCTCAGATAAAAATGAAATCACCGACCAGGGGACATCTTCTCTGTCACAGAGTGCAGGGCTGTGTGATGGTCTGCTCATCTTTGTCCCTCAACACTTGACCAGAATACAGGATTTGCCCACTAAATTTTTTGTCCATAGACTGGCCAATTTAGAAAGTTGCAGCTGAGCCTGGGGAGATAGCTTAGTCTTTAAAGTGCTTGCCACACAAGCATATGGACCTGAGTTCAAACCCCAGCACCCATGTAAAAAAGCCAGGTGCCTGACTGTGATCCCCCAGAGCTAGCAGAGGCAGAGGCAAGGTCCCTGAAGCTGGTCTGCCTTAGTACTCCGGAGATAGAGGCAGGAAGATCTCTGTGAGATCGAGGCCTGTCTGGTTTGCATTGCATCCCTAGGCTAGCCAAGGCTACAAAATGAGACCCTGTCTCAAAAAAATAAGAAGGAACTGGGCAGGGTAGTACACACCTTTAATCTCAGCACTCGGGAGGCAGAGGCAGGCGGATCTCTGTGAGTTAAAGGCTGGCCTGGTCTACATAGTGAGTTCCAGGACAGCTGGGGCTACAGGGAGACCCTCTCTCAAAAAGACCAAAAAATAAAATAAAATAAAATAAGGAAGGGAGGGGTGGAGGGAGGGAGGAAGGAAGGAAGGGAGGAAGGAAGGAAGGAAGGAAGGAAGGAAGGAAGGAAGGGAGGAAGGAAAAAGGCCTAAATTCCAATTCTCCCTCAGGGTGACATTTCCCTCACTGTGCCCT